TATATACTACTCTCTCTCTCTCTCTCTCTCTCTCTCTCTCTCTCTCTCTCTCTCTCTCGCTCTCTCTCTCTCTCAGATTTTTGGGTTTCATCCAAATTTTTTGCTCTCTCTGTAAGCTAATGCCTCTCTCTCTCTCTTATTCAGATTTTTGCGTTTCATCCAAATTTTTTGCTCTCTCTGTAAGCTAATGCCTCTGGTACGAAACCACAGACTAATCAGAAAGTCAAAAATATATGGCATCACAGCCTCGTCAAGGATGTAAGGCTATGTCAAGCTTCGACTTCAGAACACTAGGAAATCTAAAAATTCTTTAGTTGAAATAACACAAGGAAAGTCCTGTACCAACAACTTCTCACCTCTACTGCAAGATTAAGCTCAGTCATAGCCTCTCTGACTCTCCTACAAAAAGGGCATGCCTCTGTTCACAATTATTATTCAGAAAATGCCAAAAGAGAATGAGCACAAGGGAGAAAACCTCAAAACTAGAAAACCCCCAAAAAATACAGACAATTGAAATCTACAGAGAAGCAAAAGAATACTGACAAGAGCCCACTAAACAATCTTTCTACCACAGTAACTAGTTACAGGGGGAGACAAAGAATCCTCAGGAAGTTGCCAACTTTAGAGAAGATTTCTCAAGAAAGATAAAGTATGAATGACTGGCAGCAATTGAAATAAAGACATTTCACCTGATGTAAATAAATGAAAGCAATTGTATTGATAATTCACACAAGCATATGACCATTTCAATGACTAAATTATACATCAGTCATGATTATTTCACTCAAAACAAAAAAAAAAATATCGTCATACAGTTTTATAGTTTGAGCAATACTGAGGCAGATATAACAAGACACAAAATATGAAAATTTAATGCAGTCAATTAGACATTTTGGGTACTCATTAGCATGGCTGGAAGAATCTATCATGAAGCTCCATAACATTAGCCTCATATAAAGAGATGTCTCAATCATCTAAATCCATGTTCGGGCTATTTGGAGTAATTACACAAAATCACACTTGAATACATCCAAAGAATACCATGTCAATCAGAGTTTAGAGAAGATCTAGGTTTCTCAGTTTCCTCAAGTTTAACTTGATTCCTTAAGTTGTTAATTGTCAAATTAGGATGTGATCTCAGGCAAAAACTATTGTTTTGACATAAGAAGGGAGGCATTAATCAATAACCAAATGAAGGAATTTAGAGAACAATTGGTAAATCAAATGCATATTTGTTCAATGCATTATACGATTCTAAATATCTACTATCCATTCATTCAATTAACAACATGTCTACCAAGCTTCAATGACATGTCTTCAATTTGGGCTTTTCTTTTCCAATGGTCAAATATGAATTCAAGCCTGAACTCATTGATTGAAAAAGTCACAAACCATGGGCAATGGACTTGGAAAACTAACATGCAAAAAATCCTTCCAATATTCGGAAGCATCATAGCAAATAGACTAAAGAATCAAATATAGGAACTAATATAAAGAGCGTGTCATCAAAATCCATGTACGGGGTGCATCACAGAAACTAAAGCTTCAATAGAAAAAAGTGAAACACAAAAAATGCACATACCAAATTCAAATAGCTTCAAATATTGAGGAGGCTTTTGCCCAGTCTCAAAGCCATGTGAACTTTCCAATACTGATTTTGATCCCCAAGGAAATCTTGCTGCAGTTGACAATGAAGATGTTGCCACCTACAAGATTACCAAAAGTAGTCACAAAGGGCATCAAAAAGTTAAGTTCTCCCCCGTATCATGCAGAAATAAGAAAAAATGTCAACAAGGATACTATGAACAAAACAAACATTCCGCCATTCCACAGAGGGCTATATAGCAAAAGTTTGTTGCAACTTGCAACATACATCTAGAGCCTATAGCTGCAATACATAATACACAGAAAGGATCAAGAATTCTTATCCATAAATCAATTTCTTAAGCAACATAAATATTGGACAATATAAAGTTATCTCAAGGTCTCAACCGCCCATGTCTTCTATTACGATTGTTTTTGAGAACCTTGAAGTGGAAGGAAAGAATTTATATGTAATCTAGTGCTATGGACATGATTGGGCAATCAGAGTACACCTAATGAAAGTAGGATCAATCTTGATATGAATTAATACATTTTCAAAATAGGATTTCCAAAGGGTAAATAATCACTAAACTTAATTTCATCTCTTCTACTAACCTTAGCTGCTTGTACACTTCAAATGGCACGTATTTTCACAGAATTTTCCAACAACTAGAACCTTGACAAAACCATACTATACCACAACCCTATAACAGTTTTTAAAATATGAAACCAAAGTAAGACCAATTTGCAAAGGTCCCTTGCAATTATCCAGACCTCATACAAAACATGGCAAGAAAGTGGAATACACAATGTCTATGAAATTGGCTTACCTCTAAAAACTCATTCCGCTGCAAAGATGGATCCCCTCCCTGTCATAAAAAAAGAGAACACATGATGAACATCAAAAGGCCTTGTTGTATTAATTGAAGGCCAATCTTCTGAAATAGATACAAATTTGAAATAGGGAAAGTATGATAATTATTTAACTTAAGAAGCAGTAGATACCATAGATGCCCTTATACTCGTAATATGTTGATAATGAGGAAAACATGTAATTTACGTGAGCACAATTCAAGATATAAACTAAAATTTAAACTGATATCAGAAAATCATGACTGCACTAAGCTGCCTTTCTTCAATTAAATAATCATATGAAAAAAGACACAAGAAAAATTCTGAAAATGAACATAAGAAAAAGTTTGACAAACCTGCAAATACTGAGCTTTTCTAAACACTATCTGAACTTTTAAGAGTAAAGACAGTTACAGAAATTTACAGGCCATATTTGGATAACTAACCTGGATTCACTCAAACTAGTTATGGGACTGCTACAGTAACACAGAACAATGAAAGATGATATACAAGGAACGATAATATAGGCGTCAAATTCTTCCCAAAATTTTCAAATCTAATCAACAGCTCTCGCTCTCTCATGGCTAAAAAGAAAATCATCTAGAATTTTTAGAATGAGATAAGCATTAATTGGTGCAAACTTAGACTGAGCATATAACAGCTACTGTTTGATATCAACCCGAGGAAATACAACTTGTACAGGCCAAAATTCACAGTTATTTTACTAAAATTTGGATTTTGTCCCTTAAAGCTTTTTACAGCCATGGTTTTTCCGGACATACAGAGAGGTAATGAAAGCATAGAACACTACATACACGACGAAAAAAAGAAAAAAAAAAAAGAAAAGAAAAAGAAGAAGCATAGAAACTAAGCAAGAATCAATTTCAAGACATTGGCTCAAAACCAACAAATTTAAGAGCAAGGTAAATTAAATCAAAACAACAATAAGACATCCAAGGTAAATTAAATAATTAGGATAAATGGGTTTTCAACAAACAGTAAATTAAGTGGGAGATAAGAAATTAACAAGATATCCATAGAAACCAATCAACAAGAATTTAACCATATTCAACTTACACCGAAGAGCTTGAGCAATGGACAGAGAAGAGTAAGAAAATTGCTGGATGGGTTCTCAGCATTCTTTGAAACAACAGAACTTTTACCCTGAAATTGGATGCCTTGGCCCAAATCTCTCTCTTCTTTAATGCAAAACACCCGAACCCCATTCATATGCAATACCTTCTCTCTAGAATTCCAGCTCCTTCTTTCTCTAGAATTCAAATTTCTCAACGACCCAAATGAGTAATTGGCCTTGAAATGAGAGGCGCATGTAAAGCATTGAGAATGGATTGGCGGATTGAAGTGAAAGCGGTGAGAGAATTGTGGTGTAGAGAGAGCATGAGAGCTTGCGATTGATGTCATTTGCTCTCTGTAACTATATAGTTTTTCTCTGTACAAAATCCAAAATTGATGAGTGCAAAAGGTGAAGACAGCTGATACTGGATAACCAGAGCTCGAGAGAGAGCAATAAAGACAGAGAATTGAAGGGCACAGGGTATAGAGAGAATGGTCACAAAATTTCAAATGAATTTTAAATATGAGCAAATGATGGAAAAAAATCTCAACCTTCACTTTATTAGCTTATTTGATTATAAAATGGCCTGATCTGTTACAAGGGAGAGCATAAAATGACACTATTTATATTTGGTATATTAAGGCCACAAGTAATCCTGATTATTGAATGTGAAATTGAATGATTTCATTTGTTCTGACTAGATTTAAAGTTAAAATTTTTTTTTTCGAACTTTATCCTGTATTCAAGTGGTTAGATTTCAAATTTAATGGCCACTTATCCAAAAAAAATCTAATGGCTAGAGATGATTGTGAGTATCAACCCAAGTAATATGTGTTTTCATAAGGAAAATTGTTTCACGCGGGCTAGACCGCATTTCTACATGTACGGCCCAAAAAGTGTAAAGCATCCATTTTAAAGATGGATGTAAGTACATGTTCTGTCTAAAAACAATAGAAACTAACCGTCCAAATGTTTTTTTATTATAATTATTATTTTTAGTTTTAAAATTTTATTTATTTTTTCATATTCATGATCTCCATGTTAAAAATTATATGTCCTTTAAAATTAGAAAAATATATATGACAAGACCATTTATTTTTTATACAAGAAGGTAACAATTATTGTCAACCATTGGATGTGAAATCGGATGAGTGATGATATTTCTCTAATTGAGCACAAAGTCCGAACCATTTTTTCTCGAATTTTAATATGTTTGATTTTATATCCAACGGTTAAAAAAAATTGTGACATTCTTGTACCAAATATAAATGGTCTCATAGTATACGATCCCTAAAAATTAAATATTAAAAACCATCTCAAAAATAGATTTATTACAAGGCCCGTATTTCTATATATCTGGCCTTGCCCGCATAGAAACCGGATCCTTTTGTTAATGCCTAGTAGGTATAAGGAATAGATCGGCATGAACCAATGAGGGATGCAATCGATATAATTTTTGTTAGTCGAATTGTTTGGATTAGATTTTAAAAATATAAAATATTTCAAAATTATATTTTTATATTTTGTGGAACTTAAAAAATATCTCAAAGACTTCATATTTTATGCTGTCTCATTGTTACGCAATTTTAATTTTTTCAAAATACCCAAGTTTGGAACTTCAAGTTCTAAGATTTGCACATCGAAGTCCCAAACCATTAATTCATTCTTAAGAGAAGAGAAACCAGACAATTGTTGTTTTTATAAGTTAAAGTTCTGGTTAAGGGTTTAGACAATTGAAGTTTCCACTTCCAACTGGTTCTTCACCCTAAAGAAAATACAAGTGCCCATTTTTGGACCTTCCTGCTCACTTGTCCTGCTTTTAGAGTGAATGACCGGTTTCGAACGGGTCCAAAATAGACTTTACAATATAAAACCACTTTTTACCATTATATTCTTCGGCGTAAGGGCATTTAAGACGCCCTTTATTAAATCAACAAATGTCAATATTCTTTATCTAAAAGTCTCGACCTTATTATTCCTTCCCCCCTACCTGCTATTTTCTATTATACAAAATTTTTGACACATTTCTCTCTACACATTCAAGTTCATTTCAAAAGAAAAAGCCAAACTTGTTCTCTATGTTTGCTTTTTGCAAGTGCATTAGAATAGTAGAGATTATAATTTAGTGTTCATATTCAAGATATCCCAAGAACAAATTTGTCTGAAATCCTCCATACATATTGATTTCTTTCAGTAGAGATGGTTGTTATCATGTGATATTGTCGTAGATTAACTCTCTAAACATTCATGATCTTCTCAAAATAAAAAGACAACCCTAGTGCTATATGGTTTGTTGTTTGAAGTGCATTGAAACAACTAAACATTATGATTTTATAGTTCAGATTTAGGATATCTTAAAAATAAGTTGGCAGAAATCTTGATTTCATCAGTAGGGGACAAATATTATTATGTAATAATGACAAATAAAAACAAGAAGATCGGTCCAGCCCTGTTTTACACAGGATCTAATTTTTGGTTTGTACCCTTGCTCACATCCAATGAATTTTTAATAATCTTTTACTACTTTTCAAGAATGTTTTTTAAAATTATTTATATTTATGACTGAATATTTCTATCAAATTTGACATTTTAAGCATGAAATGTCTAAATATGATTTTTTTTTAAAAAAATAGGACTCTTATATTAACATTTTCATAATAAAAATTAATAAAAGATGACCTAAGTTTCAAGTGTCCCTCACCAGTGAGGTATCTACAAGTTTCGATAAGTTGTGGTTGGCACTGTTCACTAGTGAGGTATTCTTGATACGTCGACAAGTGTCGAAATCTATGGTTGGGAGCATCTTGTTCACTCTCATATTTTTGAGAGAGAGATAGAGAGATACATAAAAGAGTCAAAAGTAATCTTACACAACAAAACTACATTTAAAGGAAAATAGAAAGTAATCTTGAGGGTGAGAGAATGAAAAGCCAGTTATAAAAAGAAGTTTTCAAGAGAAGTTTCCTATGATAGGATTATGAAAGAGCTGGACTGATCTCTGGCTAATGCGAGAGCATACTGTCTTCTAGTCCTCTCGGGCAAAAAGCCATTTTAGGACCCTATAAATATTTTGTAATCTCTATAACCCAGTGACAAACCTTAAAAAGAAAAGAAATTAAAATCGGGCGCTTGATGCCCCTCAGAAAATAAAATCTCAAGAAATGGCAAGATCTAAGTATTAAAGACATTAGAATCCAGCTTTTTCTTTTCTTTTCTTTTTATTTTTATTTTTTATTTTTTTTTTCTGAAAATAATCGATTCTTAAATAGATCTTGAATCTTTCTTATAAAAAAATACTCTGAAGTGGCTCTTTGGCCCGAGGAAGTTAGTGTACAATATAGTCCCACAAGAACATCATACAAGCTAAAGAAAGAAATGTAGGATTAAAAATCCAATAATGAGATGCTTCTCGAGTAATCTGGACCGTCCATTAGCAGATTATCATCTCACATGGAATCCGCATATGCCAATCTCTATTCACAGCATATCCCATGCCCTAACAATAAATCTGGAAATTAAGCAATCCAGCCCTCTCATCTGCTGAAATGACAGAAATAAAATTTAAATTAAAAATAAAAAGCTTGTTCAATGTGAAGACTGAGGTTTCCTACAGTACCTTAAGATTACTTCGATCGTCCAATGTAGGAAGACGACTTCTAGTTGTGTCACAAGGGGCTGGGGCAATGTTAGAGTACTGTAGCAAACTTCGAGTACTGTAGTAAACTTCAGTGCTCCCCTTGTGTAAGAAGTTTCAAACCCTTGGAAGCAACCATTTTGTTTTTGAAAACTACCACGTCTGGAAAGCAAGTAGGAGGATAGCATACAATTCTTTAACACAAGAATTGTCATTAAATAGTGATAAATTGAGCTGATTAGGAATCGCTCGAGTTTGTTTATACCTAAAGGGCTTTAGAACTATGTCAGTCTGGATAGTACCGAGCTATGGATTCTACATGATTTGACTCAACCCAGTCAGTTCACTTACTGTAGGGCTTTAGGTGATATCCAAGCATCATAATAATTGTATATTTTATTGTAAAAAAAAAAAAAACTTTATATTTTTGTACAAGATATGAAAATATACCTAAAAGATGAACTATTTCATATTTTATTTATTTTTATTTAATATCAAAAAGCCCATAGATCTGCTTGATTTGTACCAATTTTGAAATGTTAAATTTTATGATTAAAAATGAAAAATAGATTTTCAATACATCATAAGGTTTCCAACCTCATAACTATATCTTCAAATAAATTTTAGAAAAACGCTTTACTTCTACGCTATAAAGAAGGTGCCTTATAAAAAGCTCATCCTTGTCGAAAATAGGTAAAATGGTAAACAACTGATAAGTAAGGTGTAAATGTCGAGGTTCACAAACTCAGGTCAAACAGTAAAATGTTAAAACATTTGGTGAGTTAGATGTATTTTGATCATGGTTCAAAAACTCAGCTCAAGGCTTAGGGTCTGCCTAAGCCAAGTATCTTGGGCGAGTTCGAGGTGACTCGTCCAAATAGTGTCTGAGCCTAAAAAGGGCTAAAAATTAAAGAAATAAAAAATTGTTGAAAACAAAAAAAATGGAAAAAATAAAAAATAAATCATAAACAACATTAAGAGTCTTATTAAGATGAAACAATATGTAAAATACAAATTTAGAGAATATTCATTTATATGATTGGAAACATTTTAGAAAAATCTAAATAAAGGAAAAATATAAAAATATAGTAGTTGCCAATAAAAGCTCATAAATCATCATGGAAACATCAAAATTATATATATAATATTAATAAATTGTTCTTTATAAAAAAATATAAGGAAAAATATCCTATTATTATCTATTTTTAACTTTTATATCTTATCAGACCCAATCATTGAAAATATTACTTGTAAGCAAAATGATTCCATCTTTTCTATCTTCTGATCCCCTAAACCCTTTTGACTATGTATTATTGACCTCAACAACTTATAAAAGGACTTTATCTCTCTCTCTCATATCATCGTCTCTCTCTCAAAACTCCAGCTCTATCTAAAACCCAAACTCCATCTCTCTCTTTCAAAACTCCATCTCTATCTAAAATCCAAACTCCATCTATCTCTCACATCATCGTCTCTCTCTCAAAACTCCATCTGTCTCCCTAAAATTCAAACTCTATCTCTCTCTAAAACCCAAACTTCATCTCTCTCTAAAACTCAAACTCTATCTTTAGGTCTCTAAAACTCTATCTCTCTCTCACACACAAGACAGTGTACTCGTGTTCGTGCTCAAGCTAAACCCCTTGGCTGGTAAACTCACTTAGAAATGAAGAGAGAGATGGAGTTTTAGAGAGAGAGATGTAGTTTGAATAGATATCATTTTAGTGTTTGTTTGGGTTAAAAATTTATGATCAAAGGGATCCAGGGGGTTGTAACATAGAAAAGATGAAGACCTTCTGCTTGTAAGTAATACTTTCAATTCTTGGGTCCCATGAGATATGAAAGTTAAAAATAGGGGATAAGGAGATATTTTTCCAAAATATAATTTTATATTTATAAAAGGAAGATACTATAAAACGGCTATAGGTGAAAATGAATAGTGATTTCGCCTACCATTAT